TGTGAATTTCCACTCCACTCCTCACCACATTTGACCAGCTAAGACACAGAATCCTCAGATGTTTCATTTGATAGAGGGAGTTTTATAAGTTATGGTGTGAATCTGAGATGTTTGAAAGTACTTCGCAATCAGCTCAATATGAAGTGAGCACAATTATTACAATTAAAGTCTCAGTAGCAAAATATGTGCTGGTTGTTGTCTCATGAAAATAGAATATCGTATGGACTGAAGCTTGCACTACCAGGTACCCTCTCCAGCTTCACCTGGGAGGGCTGCTTTAAGGGAAAAGGAAAAAGGAATTTCAGACTTCAGGCGCTGCTTTGGGAAAGTGTGTTTGAAAGCTGAGATGTACAATCTGCAGCTCACCAGACAAACAAAGGGAGCGAAAGCTGCGCAATGAGGGTGCTGTGCAAGGTTCTGCCTTGCTTTAGTCAGAGCTTGCTGTTGGATAAGAGTGGAAAATTCAGATTACTCTGCAGTAATCAGCCTGCTGTGTGCCTGACCCACAAATAGGCCAGGCACACAGTAAGAAGATGTTGACCTTGCCCTCAGCAAGGCAAAGGTTGGCATAGCACTGTGCCCACACACATACTGTTGTATCTCACCTGTGACATCAGCAAATCCTGTGGTTTCCATGCTAGAAACTTCTCTTTCCCAACCTGGTGACCCCTGCTGCCAACTTCTCTTACCTGGATGACAGCAAGGGCCTCTTATGGGTCTTGTTGATTTCATCCTTGTCCATTTCATTCCTAGCTTTTCTTAGCACAACAGCCAGAAGGGACTCCTCTGCTTCAGACCCTCTTGTAACCCCCGCCTCACCCAGTCTGAGCTACAAGTTCCCGCAAGGGCCTAAAAGCCCAACACAGCCTGGATGTTGGCTGTCTCACTCGTGCTTGCTCCGCTCCAGCTGCACTGGTTCTCCCTCTCCAACTATCATGACTGCATCCACCCTCTGGCCTGGCTCTACCCTAGTCCTTCTTCAGCCCTTACATTCCGTGGCCCCCTGTTGGAAATCACACCTCTTCCCCTGCCCTCACCACAGCTGCCCAGCAACACAGGCATCCCCAGCAGGCTCTCCAACTCCATTTTTTCCCCAACACTCATTACTCTCTATCTTGCAACATAATTTATTATTTATCACATGTATTGTTTGCTGACAGTCTCTCCTTTGCCAGTTTTGCTCCCTGTTGAATCCCCAGTGACCTGAATAGTGCCTGAGGCATGGCAAATGTTTAATGAATATTCCTATTTTGGGGAAGGAATTAAATGAATGACTATGGCATCAAGTTGGTGACAGGCACCATAAGGACCTGCAGAAGGAGCCCTGGGACTCACCATGGAAGAAAAGCTTTTCAGGGCAAGACAATATCTAACTGAATCTTAAAGGATGAGCAAGAACCAGATGAAGAAAAGTAGGAAAAAAAATATGGCTTCAGTATGTTAAGCAATCAGGAAGTAGTTCAGTGCTACTAGTCAGAGGTAAGGGGAAGACTTCAAAGTCAAAGGGCTCCACGCTGCAAAAAATACTGAAAATAAACTAAGGATGCAAAATGCAAATCTACTTGTTCTGTGTAATGCATGCTTTATAAGTGAATGAAATTGACATGGTAACAGCCAGTATTAATGTTCCGCTAAATTGAAATTGAAAAATATGCTCAGCCCCCCAGGCAATCCAGAGGGTTGAACTGGAAGAGCTGATGAATTAGGGAGCAAGACTGTTGTGAGATGCATTCTGGCATATTCAAAGCAGAGTAGTTTATTCCTGCTGCATGGCACTCAGCCAAAGTCTTTGAATCAAAACCACTACAGCAACTGGGGGGAGGAGCTAAAAGAGCTTTCATTCACATTTTCTGTTTGGAAAAGGTATCCACTAACTGTGCCAGACACTGTTATACACACACCTTTTTTTTTTTTTTTTTTTTTTGCGGAACCAGGGATTGAACTCAGACCCTTGTGCTTGCCAGAGAAGCACTTATTCCACTGAGCCATCTCCCCAGCCCCATATACATACACCTTTAAACAATGTATCAGTTTATCCACAGTCGGGTGGCAGGTGCTTTGCAAGCCCAGCCAAAACTGGAGTGCACTTCCCAAAGTTCCTCTGACACAGAGCACTAAGCACAGAGCTGTTTCACTTGAAAGAAAGCACTTCACCTGGTTTGATGGAGACCACTACAAAGTGGCTGTGAGCAGGATTTAAAATTAACCAGTTGCCTTTCCTTGTTTCATTGTGAGCCTGTCCAAGCCCTAGGCCCCTCATCTGGAGCTGCGCTGTAGTCTCCTGGCAAGTGAATCTTTAGGAATCACTGGTCCCAGCTGAGGCCCATAGTGGCCTGTGAAGCCAGGATGACTCAAATGACAAGATAAGGCCACAGCTGGGGAGGCCTGGCTCCAACCCCAGCTAACTGAAGGGAGCCTGCAGCTACAGGCTCCTCACTCCTACAACAAGTGTCAACCTGGACATAAGATAGTCTCTGAGTTAGCACACTCCACTGCCTGGGAGGCCTCTGCACTGTCTCCCAACATCTGGCTCAAAGTTTTCTTCAGTATCCTCCTCCTTCATCTGAAGGCCACATAAGTATAGGCTGCCCAAAGAATTTCTTTGTCTCAGCCACCAGAGAATCTCAGATTCTCTTAGAGGACCCACCTGGAGCCCTAAAATCTTACCACTTGTGTCTTGTCTTTAAGCCTTCTCTGTCCATTTGTTTGGGAGGTTGTGGGCTTGATCAGTTTATAATGAAGGTTGGTTTATATAATCAAATTATCTGCTGAATAAAATGCTCAATGAACAATGTCATGATGAGGCTTGAACAGTGAGGGAAAAAAACCACACATGACATCTAAAAGAGACTAGCACCACGACAGTGCGTAACTTGTGGATTTTTAATGTGGCTCCAGATGATTTCTTTGAGGCAAAAACATTTCATCGTGTCTTCCTGGGACTTGGTGGCCTAATGCTGCTCCTTTACAAAGGGAAGACCCACTTACTCTTCTCTCTCCAGCCTCATCCTTCTTCCCCCATCTTTGCATTTCCTGCATTCTTTCTTACTCTTTCCTACTCTCTTCTTCCCTCCCTTTGTTAGTGCAATAAAAAAAAGGAAGGGAGCTTTTATTTCTCCAAATTGTGCTACCTTAATTAAGACTAAGAAATTATGACAGAAAATAAATATTCATAAAATTGTAAAAATACTAAATACGCTCAACTAGGAAAAGGACTGCACTATTGTTCTGGCTTTCAGGCCATTTCTGTTATTTTTCCTGCTTATGGTGTTCATTCTATCTTAGAGGTCCTGCAGCTCAGGTAGAAAGGACCCAGTAACCATTCTGTGGCCAGTAAACTGCTTCCTGCTCTGGAGGACTCTGCACTTGACCTTTTGTGCTGTGCTCATATTTATTTCAGGATTTTGAGCATCATTTTGCATACTATTAAAGCAAAGAAACATAGGAAAAAGTCAAATTACTTCCTTAATGAGATCCTGTCCTGGGATTTAATTCTCCCTTTGACATCACCCTGTTCCCTATCCAGGCCATGTACAAATGATCATGGTCACAAAGGCTTTCTTCCATCCCAGGGCACACCATGTGGCAGAAGGAGGGGGCAGCATTCAGAAGAGTGGGGTCCAGATTTCGAGGCAGGATGGGCCCAAGACTAAGGCAGCTTAGCCTCAGTGCAGCTGGTGCCTCGGTCACGTGACCTTCACAGTGAGTCTGAGTGTTGGGAAATACCAGCTCTAGGCTTCTGCTGACCAGTTTAGAAGCTCACACTCTCCTCAATGGTCTGCACTCTTGACTCTCCACTCCAAGGCTCGGCAAGACCAGTCTGCTCCAGAACTATAACATAATATATGTAATGATCTCACAAGTAGTACACAGTGAAGCCTCAGTCAGCAACCTATTTCCTCATTAAGAAGAATGCAGAGCCAGTGAGCTGAAGAGCAGATCTGGCAGGAGAAGGCACTGGGTGAAGAACGCAGGTCTGTTTCCACAAGAATTGTTGGCTGATGCAGGGAGAGGAGCATCGTGCAAGGCAGCAGGGCAGAGCATGGGCTGAGATCGCAGAAGCAGGGAGTCTAACACTGGAATAGCCTCAGCATCCTTTGGGACAAAGGTGCCAGGGCAGGACTGTGAAATACAATGAGGACACAAGTATAGCCCTACCTTGGTTCACAACTGCTCATTAACTCTTCAAAAGCCTGGGGATATAGCTCAAGGGTAGGGGCCAGCCAGATGTCAAAAAAGAAAAAAGAAAATAAACTCTTCAAGTTTGGTACTCCACACATTTTGATGTTACTCATCCTTTGTTTGGTGATACAACTGATCAGTGTTGATTTCCTCCTGACAGGGCACACCCTTTATAGCCCAAACAATCTGTATGTCGGAACTTCCGGAACCCAATAAGGACAAGTACCAAGATACCATGATACTACAGGAAGAGGGAATGTGGGCAATGATTGTGTTCCAGACACGTGCAGCTTGGCGTTCTACCTGTACCAAGTCACTTTGCCTTGCAGTCACAAGGTGCTCTTAGGTCCCACCTTACAGACAAGTAAACAAAGCTTAGAAGCCTGACAGTTTCTCTAGGTGATAGCTAGTAAGTGGCGGAGGAAACACATACCCTGTCTCCACTACTCCAGGTCAGCACATTCAGTGCCTAGAGTCACCTGCTGTGGCGGGGAGCCGCAACCCTGTGTGGTCCTGGTGGGCTAGGTCCCTGCATACTGGTTTGCTCAGTGACTGATTAACACTGAAGTCACTGGCCAGGTGCTGAGGAACACAAAATCGCCTTGAGGTTCCCGGTTTCCCTAGAAATAAGTGGGTGGCTTTTCCTCAGATGCCTGCTATCTGTTCTGGAGATTGAGAGAGGCTAAAGTGGCTCAGCTTCACCCGGTGCTGCCCAGCAATGAGGCTTTCCTCACACATGCGTTCAGTCTACAGACACTTTCTGAGGGCTGAGAGAGGCAGCCGACGCACCCTCCTGGAAATCGTGCACCCTGACTCACCATGGTGTCAGTGTACTCTTCCAGTTTTGCCTCAGAAATGGCCTTTTTATGGTGAAGGAAGAGGTCTCGGAGGAAGTTCTGTGACATCAAGAGAAAAGTGACATTTAGTCAGCAAGCAAATAAGCTGCAAAGATCTCGAGAGGCCTGTTTACTTCAAGGAGGAAATAAACCCTTTAACAAGCAATCAATTCAAGAGCACAGAGCTGGCACTGTTTAAAGGGACCACATGAGACTCAGAAACTAGCTTCTGGTATGAAAAAAAAAAAAAATCTTAAATCCTCAATTATGCCTCTATCCAAGAGACAGCAATGTAACTTGAATTTTCTAAATCTTCCAAACACGAGTCCATTTTTAAATAACAAATACAAATCTATATTTCTTGGACCACCAAAATCAAACTCATGCTGTATATTAGTCAAATTCCCACTGATAAGCAGACCTGTGATACTTACTCGAAGCTCAGCCGCTGATATAAAGCCACTGCTGTCTGCATCGTATCTGCGCCAAATCTAAAATACACAAAGGTCATTATTCAGTGTATCCCTCAATACTTGGGGTTAACCTATGCTGGTGTGTTCTATGGTTAGTTATCTGAAAGTTCCTCATTGCACGCAAATAAGCTTTTTTAACAAGGGATTTGGGGGGGCCGGGGAGATGGCTCAGTAGGATAAGCGCTTGACTGGCAAACGCAAGGATCTGAGTTCAATCCCCGGTTCTGCAAAAAAAAAAAAAAAAAAAAAAAAAAAAAAACCAAGGGATTTGAGGGTTCCTTCAGTGACAGCAATTGTTTCAACAGAACTCAGCAGAAATAGGCCACCACTTTTACTTGGAGAACTCATGAAGACCAGCAGGCTCGCATTGCCAGGATTCTCAGGGGAAGCTCAAAATAGAAAGACAAGAAGGAAAAGACTTCAGTCTGGGTGATACTGCAAACTAAGAAACCTTCTCTGTACTAAACACTTAATGATGCAGGACAGTGAAAAACAACACTTTTAACATCTAGCTGAGCAGGTAAGGAAGTGAACGGACTTCTATGAGAGCCACAGGACAAAGAAGCGCAAACCCAGAGAGATGTAAATTGGAAACAAAGCCCATCCCAGGTGTGTGTGCTGGCTCCAGGGGATGAAACCTGCACTGTCATTAGTTAACTGTAGTTGTGGTAGACATGAAACAAATCCTGCATGCCCCACGAGGTGAAACCAGATTGAATCATCTCTTTAAAACTCGAAATCCACATTGTAATTTCTTTTTTTTTTTTTTTTAATTTTTATTTATGTGTGTGTGTGTGTGTGTGTGTGTGTGTGACCAGCTCAGCCCACCAGGGGGCAGGGCTGGCTGGCATGCGGTGCTGGGGGATTGAACCGTGCTCCCTGTGCTTTGCTAAGCTTGTTCTAAGTAGGTGCTTTAGACCACTGAGCCATCTCACCAGCCCCCACATTGCAATTTCTTAATGAATGAGTGAACTAAACATTAATGATAGTAATCTGCAGAACAGTTCCCTAAGCAATCTTGCCAGTGTGGCCTTGGCTCAAGGGGGACAGAACAAACTGTCTTTGATAAGCTGTTCTCCTGTGTGGTTTGAGCCCATCACTTTTCTAGCTGAAAGTACAATTGCCCTCCAAACAAAAGACAAAGCAGCTAAAAGTCTTTGAGGAAAGCTGTGAGCTGCTTTCTTTACAAACGCTGTTCCTGGGGGCCAGGGAAATAGCTCAGTGGAATAGGTGTTTGCCTGGCAAGTGGAAGGTCCTGAGTTCAATCCCTGGTACCACCGAAAAAAATATAAATAAAAGAAGTACAAAAGCTGTTACTGCAATCACGTTTGACTATTGCATAGAAAAGACTCACTTCAGCTAGTCAGCATTCTTAATGCTTACACAAAATGAAAAGTAGCACAGAGTAGGTTTTTTTTTGTTGTTGTTGTTTTGTTTTTGTAGACAAGATTCTCTTTAGGTCCTAAGTGGGCTGTCCATATTACCAACTACAGGGACTTCATTTCAACAGTCAGGGCCCAGACTGCAGATCCTGCAGGGATAGTGGGAGATTTTTATCTGATGTTGATATTTACTGAAAGTGGTTCAGAAACATCACTCCTTTCAGTCTCTGCAGCAGCATATGCCAGAATCTAACTAAACTTGGAAGTTAATGTGATTTATATTCTAACTTTTTTTGGGTGAATATACTAAAACTATGAAAATCTCAAATAACTCTTAAAACATTTTACATGCTTTCAAAATGCTATTGTCCAGGTATTTCCCCATCTAAATGATTTTATTTTATTTTTTCCATAATTTTATTGAGAGACATATAGCAATGAGACAGTTTCAAATCAAATTGGTAGAACAGTTGCAATAATTAACACATTGCATACTCTCTTCCTAGTAGTTATTTGGTGTACAAGATGGAGACGTGATATCCTATTTACAAACACTATTAGAACAAATCCCTCTATTCATTAAGAGAATGTAACTATATATCTATCCTAACCATTTTGAATACACAGATACAAAGTGGACATTCATCTGTATCCCCTTTTTTGTTTAGTTCCATCATTTGAATATTATAGGTGTGTTAACACAGCAAAGTATTCTAAGAGTCCAGTAGTCCATAATAGTATTGGGTCTTCCGCATGACTGGCAGTGTCAGAAATTGTTGACCTGAGTCCCCTACAGCTCAACATAACAGCATGGCTTTACCTCTTATACTTCGTTTTTATACTTTTCTTCTGGATGGTTAAGACCAAGGTAAAGCAAGACCTATGCAACAAAGGTTGCAGTTTTCGGATCTGATAAAGTCAGTCAAATCCCCTCAGGATTTATCCTGTGATCCTGTACCTCAGATTGTAAATCCTTTGTCAGTGTCAGCCATGTGGATGAATCTAAATGATTTTATAGTTTTACTGTAGTTGGGTCCTTGAGGGGCCCAAGATTTTTATGTGAATATTCAGCAGACCTATCATTAAAGAATGATGGCAAAGTAAAGAGATTTCCAGACAATAAGGAATAGTTTGCAACAAATTGACTCTTAAGAAGAATGAGGGCTAGCCAAATATCTCAGAGGATTAAAGCAGCTGCAAGCAGGCCTGGGGGCCAAGAGTTCAATTCCCAGTCTTGCCATATTGGCCCTGCCCCCAGGGCGCGCTGAGACAATTGAGACTGGGCGTGGTGGTGCAGGCCTATAATCCCAGCTCTTGGGAGGCTGTAAACAAGCAGATTACTAGGAGTCCAATCTAGTAGTGAGACCCTGAACACCCTGTAGACCCTTCTCTAAAATATAAAAAAAAAGAATTAAAGTATGAGGGTCTGTGATTCTGGGGAAAAGCAGCAACATTAACTTAGATGTTAATAAAATTTGTAGGTTATAATGGATTGTAACAATTTAATATTTTAAAAGAATTCAAGAATCCACAATGATATCTGCGAAACACATTCTTCAGAGAAAAAGTTCTTTACATGAAAAAAATCTGACAAACTAGAAGGAAAGGGAAAAGCTTTTCAATATATATATATATTGGGTCTTCCTCAGTACTGTCTCTTCTTTCCATTTCTCAGTTATTCTATTTTTTAAAAAATGGATTTGGTTGTTACAGGGTCTCACTATGCAGCTTGGACTCATAGAGATCCTTCTGCTTTCACCCTCCCCAGCACTGGGATTACCGGTGTGCCCCACAGCGCCTGGACTCTGGCCAGCTCAGCCACCCTAGGGGCAGGGCCATGTGGCATATGGTGCTGGGGATTGAACCCAGGTCCATGTACTTGCCTAAGCTGGCCTGAGCAGATGCTTTAGTCCACTGAGCTATCTCGCTGGCCCCTCCCACAGTTATTCTAAACTACATAAGATCTAGTATACTAATACTTTTTTTTTTAATTTTTTTTTATTTTAACATTTTATTGTGTGTGTGTGTGTGTGTGTGTGTGTGTGTGTGTGTGTGTGTGTATGTGTATGTGTGTGGCCAGCTCAGCCCACCAGGGGGCGCGGCTGGCTGGCATGTGGTACTGGAGGATTGAACCGCGGTCCCTGTGCTTTTGCCAAGCTTGTTCCAAGTAGGTGCTTTAGACCACTGAGCCACCTCTCCAGCCTACTAATACTTTTTATGATTGAAAAAATAAACTATATTTGTTGTACAAAACTAATGAAATACAAAAAGTAGAAATGGATAATGTCTAGAAACTCCTACCCAGAGGTACCTACTGCTTCTGGGTACTTTCTTCCTCTCCTGCTTAGATTACTTACACAGCAAAATCTATCCCCAGATCCTGATGCCTCTACACATGGCTGGTTTGTTATTTTCACTTAAAAATTCTCCATGAGTTTTTTTTTGTTGTTGTTTTGTTTTGTTTTTTTGTGGAACCAGGGATTGAACTCTGGCCCTTGTGCTTGCCAGGGAAGCGGTTTTATTCCACTGAGCCATCTCCCTGGCCCCTCTCCATGAGTATTTTAAAACAAAATTACAGGGCCAGGGAGATGGCTCAGTAGAATAAGCACTTGCCTGGCAAGCATAAGGGTCTGAGTTCAATCCCCAATTCTGAAAAAAAAAATTACAAACATTTTGGAAATGACATTTAAAGCACCTTTTACATAACTATGATTCTAGGGCTGGGGAGATAGCTCAGTGGCTTAAGCACCTGCTTGGTGAGTGAAACGTCCTGAGTTTGATCCCCAGTACCACAGGGAAAAAAATACTATGATTCTACTTATCACTGGAAAATATAAAAGTACAAAGAATATGAAACTCACTGAAAATCATAGCACTTGCAGTCATTAATTATCTTGTGTTTATTTACCCATCTCACGTGCATATTAATCAAATTACATGAGGATGAATGCTTTGCCAAATGAAATTAAGACCATATTGCACACAGTTTTGTTTCTTAACATGATGTTTTACCTCCTCATCATAAGCTGTTCTTTGGAAACCTGATCTTTAGTGATCTGGATAGTTAAAGAGGTAGTCTTTCTCTAATGAGCCTGCTGTATCTAGAACTGTCCCAAGTAGATCAAAGTTTTCACAGATACTTTTAGGATGAATAAATAATGTAAATGTATGCTAATTTGCCTCATTTTCACTCAGTGTTAGGCTTTCATATTATTTTCGGCTTTAACTGCACAATGCAACATTTAACGAACATGTTCATACAGAAAAAAGTTTGTGTTATATCTTTGGTTAGATCTCTAAGAAAGATGCCTGGAAAAGTAGAATTATTAAGTCTTTAAAAAGTAACTCCAGAGAGTGAAAGTGTAATGGACTTTGGTTGAATTTTTCCAAGATCAATTTCGTAAAGTGATTCTACACAGCATGGCTTTCAACAGAACACCTTGAACATCTCAGGGCTTCCTAAGCTATGCTGTGGGTTTTTATGGAGCCCCTTAAAATCTTTACCATGTTGCTTGTCAAACCTGAATTATTTTAGTTTGCATTTCATGGGTTCCTGGCATACATTTATAGACCATGCAAATTTCTTCTGCCTCTGCACAGATTTGCTCAATTTTACAAGAAGGCAAACAAAATAGTGCCAGAGAATGAAATGCTGTCACCTCTAAAGGAGAACACGACACCTATTTCAGGATGGGGCCCAGGACACAGTGGTAATCTTGAGCCCACTGCTGTGACCTCAGACAAACCCTGCCCTGCCCTCCCTCCCATGGTGTTTTCACTAATAAAGCAGAAACACCCAGAGGCTGAGAGAGGCCACCCAGAAGGAGAAGCTGGGGGGACCACAGGTATCGTCTCTCCTTCTACCCCAGCACAGTGGTTACAAGCAGATCAGCACATTCACAAATGATGTCCTGACTGCACTGTGCCTTCACAGCTAGAGTGAGTTCCACAGAGATACTGGGTTTCTAGAAGAATTCTCAGGAGGCAAAGTTCACTGCAGCTCTGCAGGGTTCCTGGCTTTAGCCCGGATGTGCGCTGTCCCTGTTGTTCCTACCATCCCTCCATGCTCCGCATCCTGCCCTTTGCATGCCTGGCCGAGCCTGCTAGAGGCTCTGCCAGCTCAGAGGTAGCCTGGCTCAGCCCTGAAAGCTTCTCTGCTGTCTTCTGTGTGCAGCTCCCCCTTGGGACTGAATGGGAGGGCAGCGGCTGCTATGCCACACTCACCTGCATGAACTCCACACTGCTATCCAAGGGGGCTTCCAGGCGAAAGAGGAGAAGAAAGTTTTCATCTTCAGACAAGAACATACTGGCCAGCTAGAAGACCAAAGAACAGCAGTCAGGGACGGAGGAACGAACATTGGCCAGTGTCACTTTATGGCAGAGCACTCCTATCCACAGGATAGCCCCACCTACTGCTCTGTACCCACGATTTCCATTTGTTGATTCATTGGTTCTTTCCAAAGGTACCATGCTCCTACTAGGTATGAACTACTTCCACGGCAGTCTCACACAGCTCATGCTCCCTGTATCTCTTGGTGGCTTCAGGAGTGCACACCGAGTGATTGATCTATGACATCTAGGTTCATGTAACTGTGCTCTATGATATTCACACTACTATGCACTTCTCAGAAGATGTATTCATTTTGAAGCAATATGTAACCATGGTGGAAATTCTTTCTAAACAGTTACCCAGTTTGTAATTTGAGGAAGAAAGACTGAGTAAGAAGCAGACCATACTAGATGCTGCAAGCTAAAAACATTGCCTTTCTTTAGTACGTACTCAAGAAAAGAGGGTTTGAGTTGGAGAAAGTTCTTTTCTGTTTTGTTTTTAATCATCTGCCAGGAGAGCTCTTTCCAACTTTCACTGGGAGCTGTGACAGAAGTTCAGACTCATTTAGTGTCTTGCAAATTTTTTCTAACATCAAGGATTAATTTGAACAAGACACTGAAGAGAGACAAATGTTGACTCAAGTATCTGAAAGGGCTCCATCACTGCAAGTTCCCAATCATAAAATAGGTACAAATATTGATTGACCTAAATAAAATGATGGAAGAACTGCCCAATCTCTGTTACTAAGCAACTAAGCAGATGAAAAAGGAGAAGTGATTGCTTTCAAAATGCTTTCCAGGCCATGTGGAAAGTTCTGATTTCCCAGTCAGATGTTAAGACTCCCATTGTCTTCAAGGAAAATTACAACTTAAGAAGCCAAGACAGCCACAGTCATAAACAGTACCTCTTTCATCCCTACGTGACCTTCTTTGGGGACACCATGGGCAGTCAGAAACTGTCGTTTCATCTTGAGCACGTTTTCTTCCATGACTGACTCCTGAAATGAGCCATATAGAACCACGTGAAAGTCAACAGGATCCCCGAATTGCAATCAGGATAACAAATATTCCAAATGTGGGGCTGGAGAGATGGCTCAGTGGTCTAAAGCACCTACTTAGAACAAGCTTAGCAAAACACAGGGACCGCGGTTCGATCCCCCAGCGCCACATGCCAGCCAGCCCGCCCCCTGGTGGGCTGAGCTGGCCACACACACACACACACACACACACACACACACACATAAATAAAATTAAAAAAAAAAATCCTTCATTAAAAAAAAAAAAAAAAAACAAATATTCCAAATGTACAGCCTGATCATTATGTTTTCCTAGACTGGAAACCTAGTTCTTGAACCATTTAAAGTGATTCTACTTTTTTTTTAGAAGGCAAAAAACTCATGGACATTTCTTGAGTAACCAACCAGCTATCAAAATTGTATCTAAGTAAAATTTGTAGTTAGCAAGTCACTAATATGTAGAAGAAAAAAATCTTAGGGATGAGAGTGCTGAAAGAATTAATTTGAATATCATAATCTATTTGATTGAAAGAAAAAAGTCCATATTGAAGCCAATGCACAGATATTTCCATTTTTAACTAAAAAATCCATCTTTGGGTACTATAAGCCAGTCACTTACTTTTTTTCCTTGTACTCTTAGGAAAAAAATAATTATAAGGGCGAAATAATGGGGAAAAAACAAAGAAAATAGATAGCCATTGAGTTACCAGACGTCACATTTCCCTTCCATGTATAACATTTTCTAAATATTTAATTGCCTTCTTTAGTGGTTTGGAGCCTTTGCAAGAAGTGTGACAGATGCCCTCACAAAAAAATAAACAGTTCTACTGCCAAAGATGAGAGGTACAGAACTGCCCACCCCTAAGGTTCCATACTTGCTGGAATTCTTGTGAAATTCATTCTCTCTGATACCATCACCTATTCCTGCCCTGAGCCCATCAGCTCTCAGTCACAGGGCTGAGAAGAGGTGATGCTCCTGGCTGGCCACCCTCTATGCTGTGTGGAGAGTGACAGTGACTCTGAGCTCCTGGGAGGCCCTGTGGGTGCCCTGCACCTGGGCTCACATCCAGGGCTATTCCCTGTGGGCCCAGGACTCACGCAACTTCCCTTTTCTCACTCATAGTTCTCAGGGGTAACTGTAGGATGTGTTGAGAATGAATCTTGCTGAGAGTGGAAAGGAATTGTCTGGGACAAGCAAAGCATGGATCCAATACCTCCTACAGCAGGAGGTCCCAAGCATGCTAGCCCACTACAGCATGCTGTGCCCAAGTATAAATGGGCAAACACTTTTTGTATCTAGTGCTGAATATGACCCCATCCCCAGTCAGCAGAACAGACACAGCCATTGCCCTCTGGTTCAAGCCATACCAGACATCCTTATCCTGTTTTCTGTTCCCCTGGGTCCCATCTCTGATGGGCTTCAGTAAAGGAATAGAAGGTGTGAGGAACTGAGTGGCAGAGAATAACACACCTGCATCTAATTCACGAGGGCAGGTGAATAAATATTCGTGGAGAGTTTGCTACACAGGTTCTTTGACAGGTGTCATCTTCACAGTGACCATGGGAGATTAGAAAAAAATCACCATGCCCTTCAGCCTTTGGCATCCATGCTGTCCTCCTTGCCTCTCCTTTTTAGGAAGGTTTTTGCTTTGATCTATCATTTTGAACAACCTCTTTATCCTTGTTGATCCTATGTATTCCAGTTCCTTACACTGAAATTCTCCTTTACTGCTTTCCCACTACTGGCTGAGAAAATATCTCAAGTTTTTGTGTTGTTTTGTTTTGCTTGGCTTTCACCCTCTGGTCTTCCGCCAGTCATCTCTGCACTGGACCATTTTCAAACAGTGAGTGTTGCCCAGGAGTGGGAAATCGAAAGTCACCTAAACACTCTTCCTTGTAGGACTTGCGATATGAAAGGAGGAACACTCCAGCCCTAGCAATTGCATGTGTTGCTTCACTCTCATTCAAACAGCCTGCTGCTTTCTGGTCAGTCTGGGATTTGGAAGCAAGAGGGAGGAGAAAAGAATCAGGATACTAGGTGCCCTTCTCTAAGGATCTGAGTCACTGCCCTTTCAATGTGATGATGTAGAAAGAGACCAAGAAGATGACTGACAGTGCTAAGTATTGGCAGAGTGAGACTGGAACCAGCTCTTCCCACTGGACCTTGCTGTGGAGCAGAGCACGCAGGCAGCATCCAACATTTATGGGTTACAAATGAGCACTGGCTCAAAGTCAAAGGAAAACTTGAGGACTTGTTTTCAGAATAGACTCTTGTCTATCCTTTAAATGTCATAAGGCCATGAAATGTGAAAGCCAGTTTCTAGCAAGCCAGGATCATCTTGGCCAAGAGAAGCCACTCAAGGACAGGGAAGGCCCAGGGCATTATTGTAAGATTTCAGTCCCAGACATTAGAATTTTGTCCTGTTACTTGTGGGAGGCTGGTGTGTAAGAAGTGCTGGATGGTAAGCTGTAGTAGTGAGGTGGAAAAAATGCTCTGAAATGAGATGAATTAAGTGATTGAATCCCCCTAATATCATCTTAATTTTCTATACTTCCAGGACTGATGAGCTAACAGAAATGCAGGGCCTGGTCAAGTTCCGTGTCAGTCAGTCTTTGCCTCTCTGAGGCTAGCCATCCACAAACCTTCATCGGCAAGGATGAAGATGCATTTGTGTCTTCTTTTTTCTCATAGGGATTAGATTAGATATGAAGATGGAGGAAGTATTGCTATAGAAAGAGATTAATACTTCACTGTCTCCAACTGGTACTAGATAGTGAGGAACAAATTTTGTTTGGGATAAATTGCAATGAAGGTAAATTTTTGCAATCAATTAAAAGTTTTGTTAATAAGCATATATATATATACACACATATGTATATGTTTTTTAATTTTTAAAATATACATATTATACACTTTTTTAAAAGGCAAACCCAGACCACTAGCATTTGTAAATGATGTATTAATCAAAAGGATTTGCGTATTCTAGCCATACCAAAGCCATCTGCTAGATTGATGGCTTTGGTCTTATATTTAGAATGATTAAATGATTAAAATAAGAGGACTTAGACAGATTGACTCTGTAAATACATCAGCCACATGAACTCACTTCATGATTCTAACCAGGGATACAATAGTCAAGAGTCTAGTTTAAAGACTGAATATCTTCCTAATTGAGCACTTGCCAAAGAAAAATTGTGAAAAATACGTTAGTGACCTGGAACCAAAATCTCAGGTGAAGGAATGAGAAATAGTTTGTTTGCCTCATTCTGAGTGAGGTCCAGGGCCCCTGTGATAACCACCTACTGTATTCTACCTCCCAGTAGGCAGTTTCTTTACTCGTGAGGAACCAAAGTGGGAGCATGACTGAAGCCATCCTCCAAGGGAAAGGGAAAATTTACTTTCAAAAATTCTTTATTTCATTAACAAATGTGTTTAATGTTAGATATTAAAAGCTTTTCAGTGCTTAAGAGCATAAGCTTCAACTGTCCTGGATGTGGTGATCCATTAGTGGATCTAAGAAGGCAAAAGGGAATAAGCAGTGGAACAGCTAAGGACTCAAGAAGATGCCCCAAGAATACATCAGGCACCTCCACACTCAGGAAGTTCTCATTGGTGCTGTCTCTTTGTGACATTTGCAGCCAAAACATGATTATTCTTACATTATGTACAGGAAAATTGAGACAAATGGAGGGAGTTTAATGGCATGTTGATGTCAGCTAGGACACAAATGTCTGCTATTCCATGTAAAGTTTCATTCCCCCACCCCCCGCTCCATGAGGCTTCTCCAGAGCTGGCCTGCAGACCAAGAGCTACGTTATGCTTTTTCTTGCATGTGGACAGGGATCTCGAGGTTCCAAATGCACCAGGCTTCTTCATGGAACCTGCCCTGACCACTTGTAGGTCAGTCTGTCAGGTCTCCGTTCCATGGAGTACATGCTTGGATGCTGCAATGGCTAGGATGAAATGAAGTCTAGAGCCTCAGAAACTGTGACTTTCTGAGGCCTGTGAGGAGTCCCTGAGCAACTCAGCACATGATTCTGAGTGGATCTGGAGGTAAGACCCACCCTTGGTGCAAATGCCCACTGTCCACTTAACTGGGGACAGCAAGAGCAATAACAGAACACAAACTGGTCCCCAACTCCTTAAAAGCTAGGGCACACTCATCTCCCGCCTTGGACATTTGAAGCCCAGGCCATCTTGCCCTTGGACTCCAGGACTTAGGTCAGCAGCTCCCATCCTGGGTACCCAGGCTTTTGAGCTCAAACTAAAAGTGAGATTCCATCACTCCCCTGGTTCTGTGGCCTTGGCACCCAGGCTGAGCAAGGCCACCAGCCTCCAGAGTCTCCAGTGTTCAGACAGCCCGCTGTGGGATTTCTCAGACAGCACAACACATGGGCCAGCTGCCTAACACATCTCTCCTGCTGGGTCTCCATATTGACCCTGTAGGTCCATCTCTCTGGAGAAGCCCTACTGGTCAGAGGTCCCCACAGCTCACTGTGTCTGAAAAGGTACAATGGAGATCACTCAGAGGGCTGGGCTTTCCCTTCAAATTCCTGCTTCATCTTTGAGAATAAAGGCTCTGCCCAGAAAGCAATTATTTATTTATCTCTTTGAATGAATAAACTGCTCTTTTTTATGTATTTGGTACAGGGTCTCACTACCCAACTCGGAATTGTAGTGGTCCTTCTGTTTCCAGCCTCCCCAGCACTGGGATTATAGGAGTGCACCACCATACCTGGACTCTGTGGCTGATTCAGCTTGCCTGGGGGTGGGTTGGCATGGCCTCTGGTACCAGAGATGAACCCCTGGTCCCTGCACTTGCTTAAGCAGGTGCTTAGTCCACTGAGCTATCTGGCTGGCCCAGTAAACTATTATTTATGGTGGGCTCAGCATATCCAAAGAAAATTAATTATGGTATAAAAGTAGATTTCAAAGCAAATGCTTGGGAAGGCAAAGAAGCAGTGACCAGGCTCCATTCTATTTGCTGTCTTTAGTCTGAAGCCACAGACATTTAGCTTCTGTCCTCTCAGACCTCTAGCCCTAGAGCCCATGACTGTCCCTTGGGCCTGTCCCAAAGAGCCTAGGGTTCCCTCTACTGCAATTCCCTATCAGTCCTTATCAGAGACTTGCGACCACAGCAGGGCCCTCAGTCTCTAGACGTGGGAGCAGGCCTGCATATTGGCACACAGACGGAAATCAGCACTTTCCAGCACACCTCACTGTGGAGGCAGCAAGTGCACGAGGGAGGTGTACACAGAGTCTAATGTCACCATGCACTGGCTAGAGAGAGGCCTGTCTAGAGGCCAACGCTTGACATTTGAGAAGTGATGGGAGTAGGGACAGAGCAGAATGGCAGCTGATGTTTCTACTAAGCCAGTCCCCTCCGGGGCTGTGAGGAGAAGTAATTACAGCGGGCTGATTGCTCTCTGAGATTGATGAGCAGCCTACTTCCTGTAAGAACCCTCAAAATCCTGCTTCTGAGGTCTCTGTGATGCACTAATCAGCAGGAGAACATGGCGCTGTTCAGACCTCTGATGAAGTGCATGCCTCTCCTTCCAGAGGAAGGGGCTGCCTGACCCTTCAGGCTCCTCTGCTGCTCGCTTCTGTGTACACTGGGTACCACCGACCCAAGTCAGGCATCACAACAAATAGTGACTGTTTCTTCCTGATGGAAGTTGCTTAGTGCCAGCTCACTGCTGACCAGGGCAAAGGCCTAAAATCAAGGCACTTCCAGTGTCTTAATCTGTTTGTGAAAGTGGCACAGAGTGACCCAGCTGAGATCCCCAAGTCACATTTGCTGTATCTCCACACTTGGGCAATCAATGGCATGTAGTACCATTTCCGGTTGATGGTTTGATTAATCTATCAGAGTTCTCTTCCTAACGTCATGCTGAGGAGGGGTTCCTGGGGTTACTGCCACAGCTCAGTGGGGCTGGCCTGATCATAGTGGAACCCCTCTGCCCAGGTTATCACTTTCTCTGCAGGTACCAAGAGTGGTGGAAAAGTTACAAACCAACACTGAAAGTGTAAGATTTTTTCCAGGCCCTAGATGTGGTGAAATTCTTAGAATCTGCATTTGAACCAACACAGATCATTCCCAGACATATCAAAGTTTGATTTGTACTGGCCTAAGGACTCTGAGGCCTCTTGTCCCATTTTCTAGCCTCAGAGATTTCTGTGCTGAACACTGGTGATTCATTTGAAAGCTCTTTTCTCCAAGGTGTCTGCTTGCCCATGTTTGAAAGTGGTTCCACAGGGCCAGATCTGAGGGGTCTCAAGTGATCACCAGTGCTCTTCAAGAGGTAGCAACCTCTTCTCTCTAACCAAGTCCTCGGCTGAGAGCAAGCCCTTGTGCTTGGGCACCACACCCTCTTGTGCCTGAAAATGAGGCACTCCTGGTTTCAGCAATGACTGCAAATTTTCTCCTTTTCTATACATCCCTAAGGCAGGGAGACTTCTGAAAAGGTGTAGTTCCAAGCTCAGGACATCTAGAGTTTTAGGAGTTAGCCATCCTGTTTGGAAGTTCTAGAGTTGGCTCTCCAAAGCTTTGAGTGATTTAACCTCCATCTCTTCACTTTTTCTGAAGCATCTCTGTCCATAATCAACAAAATAGAGTGTGATCCATGGGTTCTTGGCCTCCCTGAAACTCAGAATATGCAGACAAGTGGAAGCAGTGAGGGCAAAGTGGGTGTGTGGGTGTGGGGGGTTCGCTGTGGGTGCTGGCAGGTAAAACAGGGCCGCAAAGAGGGTTGTGAGCCTTCTTTCCCTGAGGTATCTTCAGCTCTGCTCCCAGCTGATGCCAAGGCAGGAATGAAAGACAGAGAAGGTGTGCAAAAGCCAGGCTTAAAGGAAAGTACTCACACTGCTGTTCCTCTCACCTGCCCCTTCCCTCACCCCACAGGCTGCACAGGGCTTGGGTTGGCACCAAAAAGGAGACATGGGACGATTAAAGGGATAGAGATTGGGCCGGGGGCTGAAAAGAGAAAAAAATGAGGAACAAAATGATGAGGCAGGGAGAGATAGGAAAGAGAAACACACGAAGAAAGAAGTGACAAAAGTGAGCTTTTAGAAATAGACTGGAAATGAAAAAACAGAGACACAGAGCTGAAGAAACTAGTGAAAGGAGGTAGCAACTAAGGGTCAGTGGGGAAAGAAGAGACAGTGGGGTGAAGGAAGTAAAATACAGAGAAAAGACAGAAATGAAGGCAAACTGGAGAGACACAAAGTGACAGCAAACAGACAAGAGGCCTCTGTGACTGATGTGGACAGATGGCAGCCTCTCCTCTTCTGAGCAGGCTGCCGCTGACCTCAAGGCCCTCCTTCAGTGGTGGAGCCCCAGCCCCTGAGGACCTCAGCGGGCTCCTCTAGAAGATGTGCAGCGCCTCAGTACCCTTCAGGTGAACATCTGAAGATGAACGACCTCCACAGACGGTCACTGACTGTGGCTGTAGCAGAGATACGCCTCCTGCAATCCACGCCTGAATCACGTTGTCCAGACCAGGCCCACCCCTGGTCAGACCTCAGCTCCTACGCCTGTGCAGATTTTTCCTCTGCTTTCCTACCAGCCTCCTCAAGAGTGATCTCCATCTTTCAAGGCAGGATTTGCCATCTGGGGCAGAACACAGGGTGAATTGGCTTATACTTCTCTCTGGATTCTGAGCGTACTAGTTTCATTTAGTTTGTCATCCCCCAAGGACTCTATAATTTCTTCTAAGAAAATGAAAAACCCCAGAAAGTTTTTACTGTTTACTATTAAGGAAGCTCATAAGCACTAAATCCCCAGAATCCTAAAGCTTTTCACATTTACATCTTTTCCACCTTTTTGATTTTTGACCAAAGTGTGCTACCCCATTTCTAGATTTAAAGTCCACTAGCTGAGATCTAACCAGGAAACATTTTGAATAGAGTTGATTGAGCCCACAGTTAAGATCTCTGAGTGGATGACAGATGTTACAATGAAAATCAATGACCAGCCCAGCTAATGTTATCGCTGTATCTTTTATAAAAGCTGTGCAAATCTCTTTGTGTTGCTAGGAGAGGGCAAAAAATTACATGCATGCAAAGGAAGAAAGGAGGTCAGGTGGGATTAGTAGGTACAAACCAACACAAGACTTGGATGTTTATTTCACTAAGCGACACATCAATTAATCCCGAGTGCTGTGAGTACTTACATCAGTACCCAGTTTCATCAGCATATGGTGAAAGAAACCAGTAAGCTCCTTCTCTCCTATGTAACCTTTTTCTAAATGCAAAAAGATAAGCATAAACAATAGTCACTTATACAGAATGACATGTGACTTTTATCTAAATTTATTTTCGATCTCCCAAGGTATAAAATCCCCTTAGATACCATTTTTGCTATTCCAGTAACTAAGTACCAACACATACTTCCAGAAGACATGGATTTAGACAGTGAAAACACAGTACAGAGTAAATGCTTTATTTGGGAAAAGAAAGATATCACACACATAGACTGTAATCAACGAAAAAACATGAGCTTCACAATAAAAGCTCACCCAGCGATTTGGAAGATTGGAAAAACCAAACAGGGTGAATATCGAATCAGAGCTTGCAGCTTTAAACACAGTTTTAGATGTTTTCTTTATGTTTCTTTAATTATCAATGAAAACAAAGGAAACACTAATTAGGTTCATTTTGTTTTTAAGGTCTCTCTCTCTCTCTCTCTCTCTCTCTTTTGGTGGACAAATAATAAGTTTGAAAGTTGATAAAATTCCTACTCCTTTTGAGAGAGTGTGTTCAGGGGTAAAATTAAAACAGAGTCATGGGGCCGGGTAGATAGCTCAGTGGGTTAAGCGCCTGCCTGGCAAGTATAAGGTCCCAATTTTGATCCCTGGGAGCGAGGAAAAAAAAAAAAGAAAAGTCACTTGTAAAAGTAAACAAATAAGCACATGTACGTACAGAAGGCTGATTTCAAGTGACCAAGATTCAGCCCACCAAACATATATGACATTGTCATTACACAAGCAGCGCGAGCAGGTGCACACACACGCACATGCACACGCACTTGCAGTGGGAAGGCAGTGAGTTTACAGGAGGTTTCTGAACGCCCCACACCAGACTGCTCCAGGCGTGGGCATGGCCGACGCAGGCACACAACTTTCCCTGCAGGGAAAGAGTCGCGGGACGGGCATCTGGGTACACATCGCGCGTATGGGCGCTCGCTCTACTCACCGTCCGCGTCGAAGCGCTGCCAGACCTGCCAGAAGCCCGCGGCGTCCAGGCGCCCCAGACCCCGGCCGCGGGCGCTGTCCATGGTCCCGACGCTGAAACTTAGCTGACGGCACTGGTGCTGGACTCCCGGGCTCCTCCGCCTGCTCTGCCGCCCTCTGATTAGCGACCTGTGGAGAGCAGCTGCCGGGAACTGCTGGCGCCGCGGCGTCGCTAAGCTGCACCCCGCCTGGACAGCGACCTCAGCGGACAGCTGCAGGACCGCCCCTCCCGCCAAGCCCCGCCCGCCCCTGACGCGGCCGGGCTTGCACCCCGAACTGCTGCCCCTGCCCTGCGGGGCTCGGGAAGAAAGGAGCTGTCTCCCGCGTCCTCGATCCTCTGCGTTGACCTTTAACTTGTTTGTCAGACTCGGAAAAAGCACTCCCCTTACCCTTCCTCACCTTTCTTTTTCTTTTCTTTTCTTTTTTTTTTTTTTTAGTGTTTTTATTTTTTTATTTTTTTCAAAATTGTATTGATAAACAGATAGCAATGAGACAGTTTCAAATCAAATCGGAAGTACAGATTCAACAAATAATACACTGCATATATTCTTCTTAGTGGTTAATTGCTGTACAAGATGCGGACTTGAGATCCTATTTACAAACACCATTAGAACAAATCATTCTATTCATTAAGAGAATGCAACTATATATCTATCCTAACCACTTTGAATACACAGATACAAAATGGACATTCATCGGTATACCCCATTTTTTCTAAGTTCCATTATTGAATATTATAGGTGTGTAAACTCAGCAAAATATTCCAAAAGAGTCCAGTAGCCCATAATAGCATTGGGTCTTCTGTTTAACAGGCAATGTCAGAAATTATTGACCTGAGTCCCCTACAGCTCAACATAACAGCATGGCTTTACTTCCTATATTTTGTCTTCATACTTTTCTACTGGATGGTTAAGACCAAGGTAAAGCAGGACCTGTGCAACAAGAGTTGTAGCTTTTTGGTCTGAAAAGGTCAGTGAAATCCCCTCAGAATTTATCCTGAGATCCTTACTCACCTTTCAAACGAGCATCTCAAGAGCTTACTCACAGAGTTGCCCCATTTAAAGAGCTGGAATAAGTGTCAGGGTCCGGCCCTGTGGGCCTGATGGTTTTAGGCAGGAAGTGTGATGGGAGGGTTAGGAGGGGGATGAGAGCCTAGAGAAAGAAATTACTGTTAAACCTGGCCTGGGGCCACAGGCCTGTCATCCCAGTGCTCTGGAAGGCTGATACAGGGGACCACAAGTTGGATCCCAGCCTGGGCAATTTGGTGAGGCTCCACCTCAAAGTAAAAAATAAAGAATGACAGAGGTGCAGCTCAGTGATGTAGTTCAGTCTCCAGCACAAGAAAGAAAAAAGAAAGAAAGAAAGAAGAAAGAAAGAAAGAAAGAAAGAAAGAAAGAAAGAAAGAAAGAAAGAAAGAAAGAAACTTACTGTGAAATAGTAAGTCATCAGCCATAACTGAGTCCTGATTTTCCGGATTGTATGGCACAGCCAGTGTGGGGCTGAGTGCTCTGCCAGATCCTGAAACTGCCAGACACTGCTGCTCCTTGTAGGGTAAAGTGCATCCTTAGGGTGCTGAGGGAAAGACTGGCTTAGCTGCACTGCCCCAGGGGGATCATCTGGGGCAGCAAGTCGGCCAGTGACAACATCCTTAGGTGCAAGTGAAGGTTAGATGGCTTTGTTTGGTTCCTAAGAGGGATTTTAATATCAAAGGCTAAAAATCACTTGGAAAAACACAGAGCTTTCTAATAATCAAAATTGTGAGGCATTTGACTGGATGATTCTTGAAAGAATAAATAAGCTGCTTTTTTGGCTGTCTTCTCAGAACCTTCCACTAGAGATGGAAAGCTTGGATAATGTAAGACTTGGAGTGGAAATTGAGATCTTTATGGCACTGACTGATATTGTACTAATATCCTACCAAAACAGATTCTTTTCTGCATAAAACTGTGGGAAGAACCTAAGAAAAGGTTTCTGCTGTGCAGAATGCCTTAAGAAAAAGCAAAATATTCAGAGAGCTGACAAAAAAAAAAAGTTTGCACAAAAGATGCTTCAAAAGGTAAAGAAGGGCTGGAGAGATGGCTCAGTGGTCTAAAGCACCTACTTAGAACAAGCTTAGCAAAAGCATCAGGGACCGCGGTTCAATCCCCCAGCACCAC